CTTTAAAAAACAAACAAACAAACAAACAAAAAACAGTTGCATCATGAGTGGTCTTTTGTTTTAAGTTCAGTATGGTTATACTGCGCACGGAAAAAGCTAAAGGACAACAAGAGGCTAATATGTATTATGCTGCCAACAAAAAGTCTGCAGGGGGAAAAAAATAGGTCCATGTTTCTAAGAGTGATTGGTGACTGTGCACCACAATAGGACCAATGCAAAAAAACCTGTCTATGGTCCCTTTAAGGGATCTCAGAGCGGACTTCTAGGAGGTCAGCATTCATTTTTGACAAGCTCAAAAATCTCACTTACAAGCTAGAAGTAGATTTGTTGGGTTAGCATCATCCTTTCAATGGGCACTAACATGCCACCATAACCATAGTGTGAACGTGCATTGAAAAAGTACAAGTTAAATTACCTTTTGCACACAAATCTAGTTTAGTTTTTGATTTTGTTTGAAGAAAACCATCAAATATAGCAACATAAAGACAAATTAAAACTATATTCTATAAAAACTTCCCTTGTCCATTATGCCACCAGTTATAGTCAATTTGACCTTTTCCTTCCCATGCCATCTTTCAAAACCATAAAAACTGAGGAAACTGCATGTAGAAACCTGTATGAACTCTTCCACAATACCACTGTCCTCTCTTAATGACCTGCTGTCTTTGTAGCCTCCCCACGAGCTAGACTGGTGAGCTACGACACAAGTATTTAATCAGTTATTGTCCTGTGAATTAAGAGAGCGCACAATTATGTCTACTGCTATTTTACATAATCTATTAAATAGAGGAAAAGGTGGAATTAAGATGACATCCTGCTTAACATGTGCCAGTAAACATTAAGATGAAAACTCCAATGAACAGGGCCTACGCCTTGACAGATTTCTGTACAGCACTAGGTACACAAATGTAGAGATTATGGCTTTTGGATGTTACAGCAATATAAACCAAAGCATTCCGATACTCTTAAGAGTTAGGGTAAAAAGCTTATGGACCATATTGCACAGTTATGTACTGAGTGCATACTTAGCTTATTTCAAGCAAAATAAGCTTGATTTTTTTTTTTTTTGTTACTGATATTCATTATGGCTGGGGAGAGCTCCCCAAACAGTCAATTAAGCATCACTGGTAATGCCTAAATACATTTCAAGTGAGGACTAGAGCTAGGCAGTTTCAAGGTATGAACGCTCGTTTCCGAATCCCCTGTCTCAGGGAAGAACCCCGGCAACCCCCATTAGATTATTCTGTTTGTAGCTGATGGTGGCAGAGCCAGAGAAGAACGCTATGGCAAGGGTAGCTCCAAAACAGCTAGGGACCACAAAAAGGAGAAACAGAGCGTTTAAGCGTTAGAGCAAACATACATAGAGTAAATAACCTTCAATCACAGAAGAATTTCAGAAATTCATGGGCAGCAATCATGCCACTACACAGATTCTCATTTGACCACAGACTGAAAAATCTTTTTTCATTTTCTGTATGTTGGATTAGTAAAATTTGAATTCATTGTCTGTATTATAAACATTAATTGAAATAACTTTGTCCCGAGAGCATACTGGAATAAGTAAACTACAGTAATCACAACATGTCTAATCCATGGAGCACTCAGTGGACAATTATGATCTAACAAGGCTATAACGGACAGTCAATGATTGGCTTAAGCCTCGAAGCACACCAGAAATGTTTAATTTTAGTTGATCCCATCTAACGTATGGATGAGAACATCCCCAGTTACAGGTGTACAATTTTTTGTGAATCCCACTGGGGATGTTCTCATCCATACAGGTGTACAATTTTTTGTGAATCCCATTAAATTCTAGTGGCACAGAATTTCATGGGTTAATAATGTTTTGCCTTGAAAGTTTATTGTTTCTGGCAGCTTTAAACTGCCAAAAATCTAATAAAGGCCACGGAAGTTGTGTTTAAATCTATATAGTCTACATATGTCTATAGTTCTCTGAAGAGAACATACCACTGTATTCCTAGAGTCTCACACTACTCCCTTTTAAGATTTCTCTCAGAAATACAACAGACTCTGACAAAACCCACAAATTTTGGTCCAAAATGAAGAATTTTGATACTATGATCTAAACTCAGCAGATCATTCATATACCAAGGTAACTTCTACTGCCAGCAATATTTCTCAGTAACATGTAAGAGAGACTACAAGCATGGAAGAGAAGATAAGTTTTCTCCAAAATCTAATCCCTCAGAAACCCAGATATCTTCCTGGAGCATACGCCTACCAGGACTACATCACAAAAAGCACAAAATTAAGCTTAATGTTAGAAGAAGTTCAAAAAAAAAAGCTTTCAATTCTTGAGATAAACCAACTAAACTAACTTGAATTTTAGTAGGCAACAAAATCTGTACTGCATACAGGGTTTTAAGGGCATCATGCAGCAAACATTATCTCAAACTGTTCAAAAGGGGCAGCTTACTAGTCCAGTCTTTTCAAGTCTTCTGAATTTCAAATCTTAATCCTCTTTCACAGGTAGGCGCAGTTCATTGCTATTTGTGATGTACGGTTCTTTTGGAACAAAATAACTGTTCTCCATGAACAGCGGATTTTCCATTAGTAATAATACCTTATATAACATCTTCACAAAACTTTTCATTCTGCTCTTGTTGCCGAGTATATTAATTGGTTGCCAACTGCCACACACGCAGATGGAACTTCAATAATTCTCTATTTAATGCTTGAAACCAAAATGAAAGTGACTGTAACAATGTGAGACTGTTCATGACAGTACTAGACAAAAAATAAGAGATAAGGAAAGAAAGCCAACAGAAATCTGAAGCGAGTTACATCACTTTTGGTCCCATAGCCCTCCACACACTTGCACAAGCTCTGCAGAAGACAGAGCAACCCACTTTCATTTTTTCACTAGCATTTATACGTTCTAGTTGATGCAAATCTCTCTTAGCATATTATTCCAAAGCAACAGTAAAACGCAATCAGGTAGCTGGAGTGAAAGAGGATTACTATCAATAATGTAAATCAAAGTTAGCAGATACTTTAAGACCGTCTTTTATAAAAAGAAAACTGATTTGCTCCAAATATAATGTTCCATCATCACCTTTATTTCACGAATCATCAGAACTGAGAAGTTTGGTTCCTAGAGATGACCATGCAGCAGTAGGCACACATTCCCTCATGGAACTGTGCAGCCTATCATGTGTCATAGGATACACTTTTTCCCTCAAGCCACATGTGGAAAGGAAGGCTGTATGACTACTACCACCACAGTTGGTGGAGGACGATGTACAAAAAACATGTATAGTTCACAAACCAGTTGGCAACTACTCAACTAGGTTTACTAAATCTTAGCCATACAGCTGTCCTTGGTGATATTCTCAACTTCTCATAAGCAGCCACACAGAGTTGCAATAATTTTTTCACATCAGCACACAACAGAGTGAGATCTTTTCTCACTCCTTTCCATCACAGCAACCTTCCTCTTTCCAAAGTGTTATTTGCCTTGGTCACTGCTACTAGAGAAATAACTTTTTTAATGATACTTCTTACTGTTTAAAAAAAAAAAAAAAAGAGAGAACAGCTGTTAGGCTAGAATGTATAATGAGCCAGAAGTAAAATTAGTTGGTAGCCTTACATCCAAGACACAATAAAATATAAGAAGTTACAATCAAATTTTTAAAAAATATAGTAGTAAGTCAAAGATTAGAACAGATCATTTTATTAATGACAACAAGCTATACAAATTCTATCAACCTCATGAAAGGCATGTAATTTTAGAAGTTTAGAATACAAATCTCATGCCTCTCCTCCTAAGCAGTGGTGTTATGCAGAGAATAACTTATTCTGTATATATGTAAGCCACCAAAAAGCAGCAAAAGTTGCAAGCTATGTAAGTTTGGAAAATCTATTATGTGGAACGTTGGTGGGGGGAGAACAATTTCAAGATGCAAGTGGTTGAGAAAATTACAAAAACCTCAATTCCTCTACCCAAGTCAAGAACCTAGAGTGCAAAGTATGCGTTCCTTTTTTGTTTTGTTCTGTGTGCTGCACGTTTATTAACCAGATCTCTCAGGGCTATCTAAGCTTTTTTCAGCGGCCTCTAGTGACGAGAGCTTGCAGACAACAATCACATCCAAACTGACGAGCTCCTAAAACGTCTATACACACCGTGTTACTTTCACCTTCACTGCGCTACTTCTTAATTTTGGAATCCTTGTTTTCCACTATGTGCAGCAAAGAACATTATTAAAGGGGCACAACCCAGCATCAAATTACTCTCCAGTCCTATACAGAGAGACTGGAAATTAGCTGACCTAAAGCCCAACAGAGAACACAATCTGCTTTGAAAAACCCATAGAGATGAAAAACCGAAAAGGATCGCTACTAAAAAGCTGTGGGTTTCCCTAGTGACCTCCAGCGTTTTGAGGAAGGGGCAAAGCCGATGCCTCGGAAGTACTGCCAAGGCACACAGAAAGGCAAAGGCACCCAACAAAATCGCCCAAGCAAACCCACAATTATAAAGAACTGGTCCAAGTGCACAAAGGCCAGAGTACGCTCCACAAATTGCTGGGCTATTTTAAACCTCCCATTCCCCTTCTTAGCTTCAACATACATGGAATACAAAATTGGAGAAAGAGGGAAAAAAAATAAAGATGGCTAAAGCCGTCTCGTTATGGATTTTAATGTACGCTCTAGAACTCTAGAGGGCACCCGAAATATGCCCTCCCCCTCCCTCCTGAGCCGGGTAACGTGAGCAGCAGCAGCAGCCCGTCGTCTGCTTGCCGGAGTTGGTATTGCAGGAGCGATGTCTGCAGCAGCAGCGCCCACCCCGAGGAGGAGCCGCCTCACAGCCATTACTGGGGCTTCGCCCCAGGGCGGCAGCTGCTGGACCCAGGAATTTCCCCACCCAGCCTTGGAGGCCCCTCCTTTTACCCCAGCCCCCGAAGACTAAGGAGCGTGGGGGTGTCAAGCCATCCCTGAGCAGGTCTAGTTGAGGCAGGAACAGACACATAAATAGCACTCACAATAGAGCTCCCTCTCCTTGTTGGTCTCTGCCAAGGCTGCACCAAACTGGGCTGGAGCCTAAGGGAAAGACATGGGGGTTACACGGGGCACCGAGGAGCCAGCAGCGCCCCCAAGCAGGATTCCCTTCGCCTGGCCAGGGCAGGTACCGCCTGCATCACCCACCACTTCCCTTTAATCCTAAGCCTTAACAAAACAAACAAACAAACAAACGAATAATAAATACAAAATAAGAAATAAATTACCCTCCCGGGTGGGTTGCGGGGTACTCCTCAAGCTTACCCGCTCCAAGGAGCGGTTACCCGGAGCCGCCCGGGGCGCAGCTGCGAAGGCAGCGGTGGCTCCCAGGGCGGGGAGGAAATATTTTCTCCTAACTTGCCGAAAGCAGCCCTGAACCGGCGCCCCGGGGAGCGCGGGGGG